GAAGAATCTTGAAGTAGATCAAAGCCCACTTCCTGGTAACATCACGGTGGACATAGTCCAGCAGGATCTCCTTGTGGAACATGTAGATCTGATGGAAAACTGGCATGACCAGAAGAGAAGTGGTAATGGTATTTTTTGACGTGAAAAGCAGAGCCGAGATCATGACATATGTAGCTCCTCTAGCTAGCTCAGTTACCCTCACTTTCAAGCTTTCATATGTCAATGGACTGCGTCTGGGTTTGGTGATAGTTGCTTCTAATGGGCTGAATGCCGTCACCTTTGTGGAGGCACTTTCCTGTGTTTTCAATTCATCAGATTGAGCCATATCAGCAATTATCTTAGGCAGTGTAGAAGAGATTTAAGGTATAGAAAGAACATTGAATTTGCACTAGCAAACCAATGACTAGTGGGAAGTCAGAACAAACTATCAGAGGCATAAATGCTATAAAATGCACAAAAGGACCCACCTGCATCTGCTGCACAGAAGATCCATTGGATGCTCCAGCAGAAAACCAGCGAGGGAATACTCGTGTGCCACTGAGTCGTGAAGTTCGCTCATACCCTAGAATCTGTTTGAATACTTAAAAGATGAAATGGCACAAGAATGTAAATTAATAGGAGCACAACCAAACGCTACATTGCTGAGAAAGATGGGATCAGAAGTAAAAAACACAACAAGTTCATTAAGAGGGCACAAACTGAACTTATTAAGAGTTAGGTACATATAGAATAAGCCACAAACCATGCATTAATAATCCAACTCTCCATGCCAATTATACAAATATTATGTTCCAAACTTTCAAAAGTGTGATTGCACAAGACAGAGAAGTTCTTTCCAATGCAAACAATAATTAGTAAAGCATTCAAGAAATACACAGACTCACAGTAAATGTCATGGTCATGGTAGTTAGAATATAAATGTCATAGTGAAATGTGACACTGTTTTTTGTGTGAAATTGGTAGTGCTTCCCTATAAAACTTCCTTGTTCCTTATTCAGGACAGTGAACTTAAGTTCCCTCCTCTATATTCAGTCCTCCATAGAATAATGAACCATCACTGATTAATGCAAAAGAACTTTAGTAAAGCAATGGAAACAAAGTTCACACCAAGTGTAAAGAGTAAAGATGTGTCGACTAACCCAAGCAGGTTCTACAGATGTGGTTACTAATCCTAGAAAATTCTTGAGGATATTGATCCTAGCAAAATTAAAAGGAAATGAGAACTTGCACGACAAGAAATACTTATATCAGTAGGTATGAGCTACCATTAAACCTGGTGGCATAACATTTAATTAGAAATAAGACCCCTGAATGTCAGCAAAGGAATGACATGTTTGTTCTCTAATAAGTTGCTACTGAAGGTTGGTATTGAAGTGAGAAACTTTCCATAGAAAATGAAAGAGAACAAGAGAATGTTTGCGCAAAGATACTCCCTTTGATCCAAAATGCAAGTTGTTTTGGCGGTGAAAAGGTCTACAAGATGATAATTTGACTAACAATTTCTATGAAAAATGTGTTAATTCAAACAGCATATTGCGAAAGTATTTGTCATGATCGATCTAGTGATGCCACTTTTTTGTTGTCAGTCTATGCGATCACTTATCAGTTGATGGTCAAAACTTAAAACAGAATTGACCAACAATTCTTCCATTCATCTATCTAGACTATAAGCTAGCAAACTTTATAACTGCCCCCACAAAACGCAAGCGAATACGCAACGCGGAGAACCATAGATTCGATCTACAGAGACACATTGCCTGAGAAAAAAAATGTATATCCGGAGCAAGGAAATGGGCGGGGCGAGGGAGGGCGAACGCGAACCTTGGGGAGGTCGAGAGGGGAGCAGACCGATGTTTGGCGCAGTGACGGGGCGGCGGCGGCCGGGTTTTGAGGGAGAGTGGAGAGCGCTCGGAGAGACCGGGCGCCGTACAGCGGCGACGGCGCGGCCGCGTCGGCGCGTGAGAGGGCGTGCGCTAGGGCTTTGGATCGGGTCAGCACTCGCGACGCCATTCTCGCCGTCTCTCCCGCCGCGCCGGAGGAGAGGACTGCAGCGAGAAGGGAAACTGGGAAAGAAGGTGGCCGACGACGCGGAGGGTATGCGAGAACATATGGTTTGGCCCAGTAAGGAATACGGCCCAGGTATGGGCTGGGCCAGCAAATGTGGTGCAGTAAGGACTAAGGAGTTCCGCTTTCGAGCCACAAAGCCTGGAATTGACTGACAAGTCAAATCCTTTTAATCTAGATGGATGGGTAGATAGATTCCATGATCATTTTACTTGTTCTGGAATACCAATTCGTGTAGCTGAATTTGTGATTTTGAGTCGGATCAAAAGGAAAAAGCATTGACACGAGTAAGTTTTTTTTTGATCGACACGAGTAAAGTTTTCCTAGCTCTTGGGGCCTTGTGGAGGGGGGAGGAGGCAGTGACATCCACTAAACTTTTTTGTAGAAAAAAATTATAGGCTTGACTTATATATATGCTTAGAATAAATACATCCTCAGAAATTACATATAGGTCCACAAGAAATAATCTACCATACAACTATTTTCTGGCCCTATCCTCATTAGGTTTTATCCGATTACACTTATATCCACCTCGATCCATGTATAAAACAAGTGCAGCCAAACAAGCTTCGAAGGTGGTTTGAATCTATATCTACTTATTTCGTGTGTGTTTAGGTTGGTCTACACTTTAAAGAAAAATATAAAACAAAGCATGCATGATGAGCATTGTTTGTAGTTGTCTACATGAATGCTTATCATAATTTCAACTATTTTTCGTCTTAATAGATTCTCCCTCTGTTTTAAACTATAAGTTGTTCTGACTTTTCTAGATACATAACTTTTACTATGCACCTAGAGATGTCCATTATATCTAGATAAATAATAAAAATTATATATCTAAAAAAGTCAGAATAAATTATAATTTGAAATGAAGAAAGTACAATTTATCTGTACATTTTATATTTAGCCTTTTAGAAATTCTGGCATTTGTACCTGCATGTGTTGAAGCAAATTTGTTTCATCCCTCCCTCACTCTCTCATCCGTCTATCCTTACACTCTCACTCATCTTGTTTGGCATTAAAAGGAGCAAATTTATTTCATTCCTCCCTCACTCTCTCCTATGTCTATCCTTCCGTAGATCCTACACTGCCACCTTCTTGTTAATTTGGTCACTCTTTTCACCGTCCGAAGATAGACTATATCTTCCACCAACACAGCGTTGGTTACTGTTTGGAGCTAAAAAAATTGTTGGCGCTGCGGGCGGGTAGCTCACATTCCACCTTTCTTAAACTTAAAACAAGTGCACACAATAGCTATATATATTTAAGCTGCGTCAATCTCTAGTTAATTTTCTCATACGGGGTTAATCCTTCATTGCACCTAATATTTATTATGAGCCTTATAATTTATTTAATTTAATTTAAATAAAGTTGGGCCAACAGAATTAGATCTAACAAAGACAACTAGCTCGTTATCATTGTCATATATATATAGAGACGGGTCCACGTATAAAAAGTCAATTTTACACGATCATCACACACAGACACACGTACCTCAAATGGGGGGAAAAGGCAGATAGGGCGGTTACGACTGATTATTCACCTCCATTATGTTCTTAGGAATAGGCATATTCTACCGACATTTATAGCTAGTGACTTACCAAATTAAGGCCCCCTTTATTCTTTGAGTGTCTTCTTAGGCGTTGGAAATCCATTGATTAATGAATTATATATATTGATTAGTACTTAATCCTGCCGATTTATTCTTACCTCGACGTGTACGTGGAAATAGATATGCCCATTCATTTCACGTTGACACGTCGAGAATGCAACGTAGGGCATTAAAGAAATGGGCGGGGTTTTACGCCAATATGGCACCCCCAAACAATGTGCTGAAAGCTGAATGCATGATGTTTGATGCCCACTCAAGAATTGTTCTTCTTGTTGTACTGCAATCGGAAAAAAAGGAAAACAGCTAGAATCGATTCAGTCCTTATGGAGTTATCTACAAATAAACTGAAAGAAGTCAGAGGCATGCATGTTTACTTGCACCAACGTTGCATTGGTTTCCCTGTAGTGTAAGACGAGCTCAGTTGAAGTTTTCAAAAAAGCAAAACTCTTGTTAATAAAGGTATAAATAAAATGTAATATTAATGATAAAATGGCATGGCACCTTGTGATGACGTACACGCTCACTGGAACGGATGGCAAATAGAACCCGACGACCACATATTATTTGTGGTGGCTAAATTCTGGTTGTTGATGTGATGATTTGTTGTAATGCACATTAAATTAAAAAAATACGAACATCCAATGCCACATTGAGGATTTAAATTTAGATGAGAATTACACCATAAGTAACATAACCAGCCAATTAAGCTAAGCTTAGTTGGCGTCATCATTTTTAGTAGCAGTAGATAGAGAAGAAATAAAATGCTGTTATGGCACCCGGCCGGCTCATGCAATTTTAATTAGTTCACGTCATCATTTTTAGTATGCATGCATCAGACGCTGGTATATTTTCAGCTCAGTGTGATCTTGGTGATGTAATGTAACTAACTGCCTTTTATTTTCAAACAAATTAAATAAACAAACAATCTGTAGAATGGTGGCCCGTGGCTCGTCCCAAAAGCAAAGGCGATCACAGAGAGTAGCCGCGAGCCTTCTCAACAGAACATTCGATTCCCTGACTAGCTATAGCTAGCCACTCCTCAAGATTGCACTGCCCCGGTGGCCACTTCCTCCAAAAGCCGGCCGGTCGGCCGGTACGGTGGAGATGGAGACTGGCCTCTCGATCGATCTCGATTGATCTGCTATATAAAGCCAGCCTCATCGATCATTATCGTCACCACAACTCATCATACACACATACATACACACACGCAACAGCTAGCAGCAGCATAAACTCTGAACCCTCAACTAGTAAGTTGAGGTTCTATCGATCGTTGGCACCATCATCGAGGCATCATCTCAAAGGAGAAGAGACGGCGGCGTCAATGGCGGCGGCGGCGGACGGCGGCGTGTCGAGGCTGGCGTCGCAGCGGGCGGTGGTGATCTTCGGGACGAGCAACTGCTGCATGTGCCACGCTGTGAAGACGCTCTTCTCGGAGCTGGGGGTGGGGTGGGCGGTGCACGAGCTGGACAAGGACCCGGGGGGCAAGGACATGGAGAAGGCGCTGGCGCGCATGGTGGGCCGCTCGCCGCCCGTGCCGGCGGTCTTCATCGGTGGCAAGCTCGTGGGCCCCACCGACCAGATCATGGCGCTGCACCTCCGCGGCAAGCTCGTGCCGCTCCTGCGCGAGGCCGGCGCTCTCTGGCTCTGATGATGATCTGTGATGAATCACTGCGCATATATGCATGCATGCGCGCGCGCCAACTCATCCGCTGCCTTACGCTATTAGATGCTTACTCATCATGATCCGATCGATCCATCAAGCTCTATATATATATATACTGCTCTATACGTAGTATGGCCTACTTCTAGCTGATCCAACACACGCAGTGCCTTCATCGGCAACTGGAGGGCCGACAGAATCAGTCGGCTCGTGGAGTGCCGACAGGTTAGCTCAGCAAAAAAAAACTGCCGCTGCTGCCGGTGACGCTGCGAGCTGCTTTACGTAGGCCAATCGGCTTATGGGATGCCAACAGGCTGCTACATGCTAAGTTTTTTTTACAACAGCGTGTAAATTTGCAATTAATCATTAAAAAAATATTATTTAAAGAAAAAATCGTCGTCGTCCGTGTTGTGTGGTGGCGTGGTGTTGTGGCGGTCGTGGCGTCTGGCGAGGGGGCGGCGCGGCCTCGTGGCGTCCTGCGGCGAGGTACCTCTAAACCCTACGAGACTGAACTGGCAGCTGCCAAATCTACACAACACGCTGAATTGCCAAACTGACATTGTAGAAGACATATAACACATTAAAACAAAGATTTTGAATAATGAGAAAAAAAAATATAGAGGTTAAGGACCCTTTTGAATTGGACAAGGCAGTGAGTGAAAATTATAAAGGTCCGAATACACCTATGTCCTTTTGCTAACATGTGTCCGCAAGACCGACGAAAAGATAGAAGAATGCATCGTCCTACTGCTTTTGAACGATATATCTATAAAGTATGCATAACGAACTTTGTTTTTAAACGATAAATCTAGGCAAATATGCATAACAAAATTCTTTGATTTTTCGTGTAGGCATTAAAGCTTACTTAATTATCTGGTCTGCCAGTGATGTTGACTATAAGCTGACCCTTAATTAGGTCCCAGTCCCACATGAGCACGGTGCACACTGCCACGGTAGGCCCACCACGTCCACGTTCTTGCGTAAGCCAGCACATGCAAAAGGCCACACCAGCGACTCGACAAATTAAGCGAGAAATATATAACAAAGCTAATTTTGGATAGATGTGTTATGGCGCTGGTCCACTTTTTTCTATCAATAAGCTATTTTATTAAATTACATTATAAAACTGATGTATACGTAAGACAAAGCTAGAACCTGCATTATGCGCATGCCCTGGCCCGTCCGCCGCCGCCGCCGCCGCGTGCGTGCATGTCCGGCGGCGGGACACGTAACACAGATATGGATGCCACGTACGGGCGCACCACACATTTCTCGAACACCTGTCGTACGTGTAGAATGTGTACTAGATAGTGCATGTCGCGGCCAGGGGTCCAGCCCGGTTGAGCTGTTTCATCAAATTCAAAGGCTACATGCAGCTGCACCAGCACACAGATGCATCCACACGCGACGCAGGCGCAGCGCACAAGCACAGACGGCCGAACAAGAGGGGGTCGCGCTACGCTGCATTCTAATAATGTGCGTGCTTGCCCGAGAGGAAAAAGCTAGACAAAAAAGTGGCCGCAGGCCGTAGCACAAACATGCATGGGACCGACGGGACCGGACCCAATGCAAGCTCGTGGTCCACGCCAATTTTTTTAAATAATATTTTTTATGATTAAATACAAAATTAGAAGCTGTTATAAAAAAATTGACATATAAAAGCCTGTCCGCGGCTCACCGGCCGATAGTCATGCATAATCCATGAAAGGTCATCAAACTATTAAGAGCTATGATCACCAGGACCGTGGGCTCCGCCTCGCTAGACTCTTTGGGTGCGGGCTCCGTCTCACTCGACGGAGACCCATACTACCGCCAACCACTCTAGGTCCAAGCGTATGGGTCTGGGTCAAAACTCTGACACCAAGGAAGAGACCGGCACGTCCTGATGTAACCCGCGGCCACGACGGGCCATACCGAGGATTCACATCAAGAACAGCATCGGACGTACCGGTATTGTTCTGCCTTACCCTCGTACGAACACTGACAGACACATCAGTTCACCACGACGTCCGCCAGGATAGAGTGGAGCACCATGACCGGTGGATGACGCCTGCGCATGGCGCCAGTGACGAATAGGACTGCGACGTGGAGCCGTCCCTGTTGACATCTACTGGGTCGGTAGGACCCGCATGAAGGAGAAGAAGGACCCGATGATCCTAGAGGCCTTCCTCTCTCTGGTTCTTCTCCTTTTCTTCGCTATAACCCGCGCTTTCTCTTGGCCTATAAAAGGGAAAGTAGGGCGCCCCATGAAGGGATCCCAGAACCGATCGACCTATCAAGATCCAATACAGATCCGCACAAGAGCACGACACGACCGCACGGCTGAGCAGCGTCGAGCTCTCAGCACGCATTCACTCCTTTCACTAGAGACTTGGGACCTATCCCTCTCTCACCCGTTTGTAACCCCTACTACAAACTTTTGGAGCTAGTAACACGAGCAGCAGCGATGAACTGGACGTCGGGACTTTCTGCAATAATACAAATTTACTCGTCGGTGGTAACTCGAAACACCGACAGTTGGCGCACCAGGTAGGGGCCTTTTTGCGCATCTCGACATCCACACCAGGCCTCGAAAGGCTATTCATGGCGTCAGCTGGGTCCTAGACGCGCACGTGCGCTTCGGGAACCTAGACTTCATCGTCATGATGGAGGGAGGGTTAGTGCAGGCTCCCACCGCCGTCCAACCTCTCCACTACACCGGCCTCGATGCGATCGCCGAGGTGCTTGAGGAGCTATAGTTGCACGCACCGGAGGCCCGCACCCTTGGGAGCGACCGGCTCCTCGGCTTCGATTACGGGAGGGTAGAGCGCTAGCTCAGCGCCTTCCTGGGACACTGACTGTCCCAGGAGGACTTCCGCCACCTCACCTTCTCGTTCACCAATGTCATGACACAGCTTGCTAGAGGAGAGCCGCTCTCCCTAGAATACCTCATCCGAATTGCCCCGACAGCGCTCCCGTTCGGTCTCCGCAACACTGTAGAGACCGTTGGCTACCCTATGGCGCAACGCACGCCTCCATCCCCCGCAAACGACGAGTTCATGGGGATGACCGAATATGTCGTGGAATCTTTCCATGACCTCCTCGTGGGAGAATCGGGGTCGCCCTCTGACTCTGACTCCAGTGGGGGGGCCATCACCCTTCTCGTGAATGTTTCGTGGCAGGTACCCTCGAGGGACACATCGAAAGCATCCATGAGGGAGGAGGCTACCCCAACGAATGACCTCGATGACGAGGTCGAGAGGGATGCAGGGGCCCCACCTCGCCTGCGGGTGGAGCAGCTGAAGGTCCAGCACCAAGAGCTTGAGGAAGCACGACTCCAGCTCGACCAGGAACACGTGGAGCTTGAGCAAGAGATCGAGCGCCATGGAGACGGCTGGCGTGCACGTGCCATGGCCCACGACGTGAACCAGAGGATCATCGAGGACGATGAAGCCCTCCCACACTTCACCCGGGCAAGCTAGAATATCGCTGCTATGGCGGCCTTGCTCCGAGGGCTTCTGGGGCCCGCAACGCCCAAGGATTGTTGGGCCCATCGTGAGATTCGCACGCTACTCGAGCGTGCGGTGGCGCAATAGGCTGAGAGCTCGCTGTCTCGACGACGCGTGCCCGAAGCCAGCCAACATGCGCCCTCAGAGCAACCCAACATGGACGTGTCAGTCCACCAAGCGCAGCAAAGCGGCAGGCCGCGCACCGCGGTCCTAGTGCATGAGCGTCTCGGCCTCAATCGTGACACGCGTAACACCCTCGATGCCCGTAGGCGTGCCCGCGATGACGCGAGGGAGGAGGCCAGCCGTGGCTACCACCCTTGTCATGGCGGATGCTACAATAGCGACAAGGACCGAAGCCCAAGCCCCGACTTGCCAGGACCTCGGGCCTTTGGTCGATAGATCCTCAACACCGCCTTTCCACCATGGTACCAACCGCCGACCAACATCCCAAAATACTCTGAGGAAATGGACCCTAGACTATGGCTTGAGGGTTATCGGCTTGCTTGCCAAGCCGGTGGCGCGAATAATGACGATTTCATTATCCGCAATCTTCCATTGTTCCTAGCTGATTCAGCGTGAACGTGGTTGGAACACATTCCGCCCAACAGAATCCAAAGTTGGGCGGACCTGAAAGAGATCTTCGTGGGAAACTTCCAGGGCACATACGTGCATCCTGGGAACCCATGGGATCTCAAAAACTGCCAACAGAAGGTTGGAGAAATTCTTCGTGGGTACATCCGACACTTCTCCCGGCAGTGCAACAAGCCGCCTAACGTCGCCATGCCGACATCATAGGAGCCTTCCTGTCTGAGACCATCTATGAGTCCCTGGTTCACAAGCTAGGATGTAAGGGCCCGCGAACCACCAAGGAGCTCCTCAACATCGCCACCAGCCACGCCTAGGGCGAGGAGATGGTCGGAGCAATCTTCGACCACCTTAAGGGAAAGGCAAAGTGGGACGAGGATGCTAGCGAAGGCGCCTCCAACCATCCCAGTAAGAAGAAGAACAAGCAATGGCACGAGGGCTCGCTCGTGGCCGCCGCCGACCGCAAGGGGGTTGGAAGCCCACTGAGGACACCCGGACCACTTCGAGAAGGACCATGTCCGAACCATGCTTTCCCCAACAAGCATCTATACAAGAACTATGGTCTCATAAAGCGGTTCTTGTTAGGAGGCTCCAACAAGGGGGAGCATAGGAAGGACCCCAAGCTGTCTGCGGATGACGTTGAGGGGAACGACGATGGCTTTCCTACGCTGGATGGCTGCCTCATGATCTTCGGAGGGTCGGCAGCCTATGACTCCAAGCACCACTAGAAGCTCGCGCGCCGTGAGGTCTATACGACCAAGCCGGCTGTGCCTACCTTCCTCCGATGGTCGGAGTCCGCCATAACTTTTGATCAGACAGACCACCCAGAGAGTGTCCCACAACCGGGGAGATATCCGCTCGTGGTCGACCCGATCATCGGCACAAAGTGGCTTACCAAGGTACTAATGGATGGAG